CCCCGCCCCTGCCCCAGCCACCCTGGTACCTTTCTTGTCATCCCATAACACATTCCAGAATTTTTGGTTATTACACTCTAGACCTACCTGTGGGAGATAGAACTAGAGAGAGAGAGAAAACTAGTCTTGTGAGCTAGGACTGGGGAACCCCAGGGCTGGAGCTGTCTGCCTATTCCCAGGCCCTGGCCTTGAGTGGACATTCCCTGGGAATGTGATCCTCATCCCACACAGCCCACACCCTGCTGTGCTGTTCAACAGAGAAGGCTGTCATCGCCCTTGTGGCTGTCACCAGAGCGGGCTGAGCAAAGAATGCCCTTTTTCAAAAATTAGAGCTATCCAATACTTTTAGGGGAGTGAGAACGGTGGGTATGGGAAATAAATCTGGATTAGTTTTTTTTTCCATCTTTGTGGTTAAACCATTAGTTCAGCCTTGGATGAACTTCCCTGACCCCTGAAAATAGCTATATAGTTTTGGCAACTTGCCTGATCTTTTATGAGTGAAAACCTCAAATTATTTCTACACATTGGTGGTTCCCTCAGTTAGATGCAGTTCCATTTGGAATTGATTTTTTTTTTTTTTTGCTGTTTTTACAAACAAATTAGTTGTTTGAGTTCATAGTCTACTCATCCAGTTGTGTTAAATTTACACATGACATTTGAAATATTTTATTTGCAGCTGATAAGAATCCAATAAACCTCAACCAGAAACATATAAGCCAAAAAACCCCAATCATCTCACTACATGTAATTTTCTCTTTGGGAACCTAAATCTTTTGTGATGACAGCCTTTAGTCCCACTAAAATGAAAGCTGGAGGATTCTCTTTTTTCTTTTCTTTTGAAGCACATTTATTTTATTTTTAAAGATTTATTTATTGATGCATACAGAACTGGGGTACAGGATAGAGGTGCCGGGCAGTGAGAGGGTTCATCAGAGACAGAGTGGGGAGAAGAACAGGCAGATCGATGAAGTACACTCCTGAGGGGAGCAGCGGGTGAGACAGGAGAGGTCTGCTGCACCATGTGGGTCTGCTCCTTGGTGTGGTATTGAACTCACGCTGAAGTGGCTGCAGCTTGCTTGCAGTGCTGCTCCCTAGCCCGCTGTGCCACCAGAGAGGGCCTGAAACAAACATCTATCAGTGCTTTTCGGTTCCTTCAGTCCACAAGTACATGTCTACTTCTAATTTCTGTACAGTCGACAGTTGTTTTCTGCGCCACACACTGTTACCTATCAAGCACTGCTCTGCCTTGTCATTTAACCCAACGTTGAGGGAAGGGTTTGATCCTCTCATGCATCCTCAGAATCTAGTCCAGTGCTGCATAGTTACAAGGTGCTCAATAAATGGACTAGCTGAATGAATGCAGCCCAGGTTCCTATGTGAGAACTGGCGGGATTCTGCTTCTCTCATCCATTCCTGTTTCGTTCCCCCGTTGTCTCCACTCAGCTGCTTCGCATCCTGACCCCAGTCTGGTGAGCCCAACCCTCTCCACGTTTCCCTGGCTGCATCTTCCTCTCTGCTCTGAGTCTGGAGTTGCCTTCTTTCCGTATTGTCCACAGGACACCAAGTTTTATTGTTTTCTGATTCTATTTTTTTGTGAACCATAGAAAGGTAAACTTTCCGATGAAATAGTTTTAAATGTTTAACAAGACACTTTAATTGTATGTACCTTTACACTTAATTTCTCAAGGTAAAGCAAAGCTTTTACGATGTTTTCCAGGTTTCTTATTGCCTTTCCATTTTTTTCCCTAGTTTCTAGCAAGCTTTCAACTGGCTAGATCACAAAGCAACCACAATTGTGTTGATTAATTGTTGGGACAAATTGTTCTTATTTCAATTCAACATGTTTGGAGTATCTGTTGGGTACTATGGAAAATTTGAAAGGGAGCAAGATAAAACCTGCATTCTGGAGTAGAGTGGGCTGACGTTAAAATGTTTGTTAAATATGAAAGTACATGGTAAGGGACATGTTAAGTCAGTGCTCTATGAGAAATGCTCCATGAGAAAGATAAGGGTGAAGTCAGTCGATTTAGAGTGATCAGGAATATCTTCATAACAACTTGGCCCTGAAGAAGGAAGGCAGGGAGAGGTGGTTGTAGTTTTATTTGTTTTCAAATGGTTATTCTAGTAAAATTTCCTTTATGAAGAACTTTTACTTACAAAACACATTAAAAATCTACCAGGTAATCAGCTAGATAATTGATATACTGGTTATTCTGGGATTAATAACTTTCTTTTATTATTTTCATGATAGCTCTTTAAGTTAATGTCACACATTAAGTAGTAAACTTTTAATCTGTAATCAGATAATAATAGAAGATGATTATGCAGTACTTCTAATGCTTTTTAATGTGTTTTGTTTTATCCTTGCATTTTAGGCAGTTTGGATCTTAAAAGCACGAGCACTAACTGAAATGGTATATGTAGATGAAATTGATGTCCATCAGGAAGGAATTGCAGAAATGATGCTGGATGAAAATGCTATTGCTCAAGTACCACGTAAGCACTAGGTTTTCAGTTAAGCAATGAAATGCCATTAGGAAGAGAAATACTCTATAGAAGATATTAGATATGTACATATATACATTTCTATGTTACATATATGATTCAGGATATATATATATATATACATATATATATATTACACCAAGCAGGAAAAAACATTAATAAAAGGACTTGGTCTCTATCCTGCTTTATGGTACAAAGAGTTTCTATGATTTAGTTATATTCAATTGTGTTAGATCTGAAATTGATGTATTGAAAAACTTTCAATAAAAGTTGTATTATGCATTTTAAAGTATTTTATACAGATGCATTCTATCTAAACCACTTTTCTAATATATCAGAAGGTTGTTTATCTGGGAGGTTAGACACAGGAGAGAGCTAAACAACAGACATGTTCTAGCAGGGATTGAAAAAAACAGTAATTCCAAACCTTCACTTCAGGTACATAATTGAAGGCGATTTGCTCTGATGCATGAGGTGAGATGATGGGGTGCTATTCTGGGCTGTGAATGCCCATCAGGATTGTCACAGAAGCCCAGTCACAGCTTGCAGATGTGTTGGTGCAAATAGCATAGGATGATTACCATGACATGGGGCTTGCTAGAAATACATGAATTGTGACAGCTACCCACCATTTGTATATATATCATAGCTCCAATAGAAATGGAGGGGAAATGTATGTGTTCTATGTTAAAGTGTCTTGTTTTTGTTCTTTTGGAATTAAAATATCTAAATTCTAGATTGTGGACAAATGACCTTTTGATAGGAAAAGTTTGAAAAACAAAGTGTATAGAACCATCATTTTGATGCCTTGGCCTTTCAAGCTTGCTAGTCTTATGTTTGAATCTCAGCCTATGAACAGGTTGACCTCTTTATTTAACTCTAAACCTTTGCTAAATGAGTTAATGCTATCTAACTTAGTGTCAATATTAAATGTAATACTATAAGTAACATGGTAGGTTCTCAACATTAGTCTCAAGCACATTTCCCTGATACATATTTCCTGTTACTAATGTCTGTTTTACCAGGCCAGCACATTTCAGATAATTACATTAACTGATAGTTTTTACAGATTAATAAGTAATGCATAGACTGAATTTGCCATCTGACCACATAGGCCCTGGAACTTCTTTGAAGCTCCCTGGAGCTAATCAGACGGGAGGGCCCAGTCCAGCTGTCAGGTATGTACTTCTGTTTTGTACTCTTTGCCCCTAAATACTGGCCAGACTGCAGGAGAATGTTCCTTTATTTATCTTCCCTGTGTCTGAACAATTTATACTCTATAGGCCAATCACTCAAGCCGGAAGACCCATTACAGGCTTCCTTAGACCCAGCACACAGAGTGGAAGGCCAGGCACCATGGAGCAGGCGATCAGAACCCCCAGAACTGCCTACACAGCTCGGCCCATCACCAGTTCCTCTGGAAGATTTGTCAGGCTGGGAACAGTAAGTTGCGTCAGCTTTGATGTAGGCTTGTGTTTCCAGTGTAGGCTTTTCTTTGTCACATTGTTGTTCACTATTGTTATAGTGGAGAGCTATATGGAAGGTTTTGAAGTTGATTATTTTTGTGTTGTCTTTATTATATTTATGCACTTTTATATTTCAAGAGAAATTTTGAGATTTCTTGTTCTATCATTTTACCCATAGGCTTCCATGCTGACCAGTCCTGATGGACCTTTTATAAATTTATCTAGACTGAATTTAACAAAATATGCCCAGAAACCTAAATTGGCAAAGGTGGGTTCTTAACATTATTTTATATCATGAATTAATGTTGGAAGTGTGAAGGGAAGGTCTTGTCTTGATTGAAACGAACATGTTTATTTCCTCTAGTATGCAAATATCTCTTAGTGTTGAATTAAGGAAAATCAATCAGAAATAAAGTATATATGCCATTATCATGGGCAATTCCTTTTCTTTTGATAATGAACAGTGAGTTTTAGTAGAGAAAGCAGATATTTGGGTGAAGCTTAGCAGGTCATCAGTATGTGTGTATTTTTTTTTTCTTTTTAATCTTGCACTATTCTCAGAAAAATAATTTTCTGTCCTTGTAGGATTAAAAAAATATAAAAAAATACACTACTGCTAATTAGTCATTAATCAGCCAGCTCTAATAAGAAGTACTCAAGGCAAATAGTAGCAAGCCAACTATATTAGTAATTCCAGCTACTCAAAAATTAAATGCCTTTTTAAATAGAAGAAAAAGTGGGGTGGGAGAGAGAGCCTTGGAATAATTCAGAGCCAGGAGCACTTACCTTCTGACAATTTGTTATGCTTAGCTCAGACTTTAGCTGTAATCTCTGAATTCTGTGCATGAGGAATGAATTCATTCCTAACCTCTGTTTTGTTGGCATTTAACATATTTATCAAATATCACACACGCTCGGGAGAATAAAAATGGACACTAACCAGTTATGCTAGCTAGTAGCCAGTAAATCAGCTTATAAAGATGCTGTTAGCATTTTTTCTTAATTTTTTTCTTTGGCAGCAATCCTAATAAATGTTTTTAGCAGAATTTTAAAGCTTATTTCCCTTTCCTTTATGACAGTTGGGTGTTTACAACAATGCATATGGAATAACTGCTTCCCTGCCTCCTTAGGCCACTTGAGGAGACTAGATGACCAGGCGGTGCCATTGCTACCAGTGGTAACTGGAAGTGCAGGCAGTGGAAACGTTTCCCTCCATTAAGCTAGATGCTCTGGGACAGACCTGGTGTGTGTTACAAGATTTAGACTGAACTAGATTTTGCACATTTTTAGTGTTATAGAGATATAATACCAGGGTTTCTATCTTTGGTCCACAGTTTGCCTTGACCTATTACTCATCTCTGCTATTGGCATATTGCTAAGAGTGTGTGTGCTGATTCCCTCACACTGCTTGGGTGTTAGAACACCCTCTTCTCAGCTGAATTCTTAACTCTGGCAGAACAGAGGAGAGTTAGGCTCCTCTTCTTATCCAAGGGCCTTTTCTTGACTTCCATTTTTTTGGGTTGCTTCCTAGCCTGCTCTGTTAATCGCCTTGAAAGCTCCCAGGGGTTCACCTCTTTGCAAGTGTAAGATGATGGTATTGTGGACAAAGATTGTACCACCAAGAGGTAATCTAGTGTGTACTTAGGTGACTGCATCCCAGTAGCAATTCACAGTCCAGCTGTACATGACAGCCTCTGCTCATTCAGCAGAAAGCACCCCATTTTACACTGAAATTCTGCTTTGTTTCCAAAGGAACTTCTGGATTTCCCCATGGCTACACTGTCATCACAATCTTTGTTACTGTATAATGCATGTAGTATGTAAAACATTGGCTGAATCTCTTTTATGGCAACCCTACAGCTGGTCTTTTCACTTGTTTCTGGTAAAATAGTATGCGCAATGTGGAAAACATTGTTCGATTTTTGCTGTTTTTTCAGTTTATATTATACAAAAACAGGGATTAATTGTGAATAGCAATATTTTAAAATAGGTGATTATAACAAATGATGGTTAGACCTTTTCCCTATAAATCTGAGGCACTTTTGATTGAGTGCCTGTTACTTCGATTTGTTTTAGCTGCTGTCAAAATGACCTTTGAGTTTTGATATGACAATAGAGTGCTGTTGTTAAAGCAAAATCTAATGTATTTTTGGCATTCTTTTTCCTTCATAGGCTTTGTTTGAATATATTTTTCATCACGAAAATGATGTGAAGACTGTAAGTGTTAAATTCATGCTACTTTCTTTTACCACAATTTTTGATTTGGGGAAGAATTTAGATTGTGAAATATTCTATCTGTTACCTTATAAACAAATGGAATTACAAACAGATTGAAAAGTTACCCATATTTGCAAATCCACTGTCAATTTCAATAGGAAAATTTATACAAATAAAGAAGTGAGAAGACTTGTGCCTGGCCCACAGAATACAGAGGCCTTTATTAATGAACAAGATATTAAAGTGGCATCTTAGGTTACATGGTCTTTTTAGGCTAATAAATCCACATTAAAACTCCACTTCTTGGCCCTCCCTAGTGGCACAGCAGGTTAAAGCACAGCACTAAGAAGCAAAAGCCACTTCAATATGAGTTCCATCCTTGCCCTAGACGTGACCCACATGGCGCAATAGACCTTTCCTAAGCTGCCCCTGCTCCCCTCATCAGTGTACTTCTTTGATTTGCCTGTTCTGCTCTCCACTCTGTCTCTGGTGAAGCCTCTCACTGGCCCTGAACTTCGGGCCTGTACCCAATTTCCTATTGAAATTGACAGTGGATTTGCAAATATGGGTAACTTTTCAATCTGTTTTCAATTCTGTTTGTATGCATAAATAAATCTTTAAAAAAAAAACTTAACTTCTGGCCCTCCCTGGTGGTGCAGTGGGTTAGGATGCAGCACTGCAAGCTGGCTGCAGCTGTTTCAGTGTGAGTTTGATCCCCGGCCCACGAGGTGACCCACATGGCGTGGCAGACCTCTCCTGTCTCACCCGCTGCTCTCCTCAGCAGTGCAATCCGGTCAGTCTGCCTGTTCCACTCCCCCCTCTGTCTCTGGTGAAGCCTCTTGCCACCCCTGCTCCTATAGACTGTACCCCAATTCTGTATGCAAAAATAAATAAATCTTTTTTTTAAAAAAACTTCACTTCCAGTGCCAGCTTCCATCAGTATACACTCCATGGCAGTGTTTCTTAGCCTTTTAGGGACTCAGGAAAACCCCCATGAAAACTCGGAGAGGATATTTGTGATATAATATGTCAGAGACAATAGGTTTATATCCACAATAAAATATTCTTGAAAAGCAAAGCAATCATAAATTCAAAAGAAAAGTGGGACTAAAACTATGGCTAGACAATTCTGCCAAGAAGAATTCATAAAATGGTCCCTTAAAAAAAAAAAAAAGGATAATACAGAGAACTGAGAATACTGAACAGTATGCTTATGTTAAAATTTATTTTTTATTCTAAAAGTTAGCATTAATGATTCATTTTATCCCTTTAGTCTACACATGTATGTTTGACTTCTTTGTAGTGAACTTCCTCTTGCCCCTTGAATATTTTGTGGTAGATAATTTCAAATATACAAAAATAAAAAGAACAGCATAATGAGCTCTGTTGCTTATACAACTTCAACAATAATCATCTAGGTAGTTTCTTAACAGAAAATTTTACAGGTATAAGCATTTAACCAAAAAACCATTTGTTTCAGTTTTTTTTTTTTTAAGATTTATCTATTTATGCATACAGAACTGGGGTACAGGCCAGAGGTGCAGGGAGCAGAACAGGCTGACTGATGGAGTACACTGCTGAGGGGAGCAGCAGGCAGGTCAGAAGAGGTCTGCCGCGCCATGTGGGGATCGAACTCATGCTGCAGTGGCTTTAGCTTCCCAGAGCTGTGCTTTAACCTGCTGTGCTACCAGGGAGGGCCCCGTTTCATTTTTTTAAAAAGATTTATTTATTTATGCATACAGAACCTGGGTGCAGGACAGCGGTGCAGGGGAGGTAGGAGACACCAGAGACAGTGCAGGGGGTGTGGTGCAGAACAGGCAGATCGACGAAGTACACTGCTGAGGGGAGCAGCAGGCAGGTCCGGAGAGGTCTGCCGCACCATGTGGGTCACCTCCAGGAATGGGATTGAACTCATGCTGCAGTGACTTTAGCTTCTTAGTGCTGTGCTTTAACCTGCGAAGCCACCAGGGAGGGCCCATGGAGATTAATTCTTTTACTGAAGAGACATTTATTCTTTCACTCACTGTTTTTTGAGCCACTGCAGTATGTCAGCACTGTTCTAGGCCACTCAGGATACAAAGTGAAGCAAGCAGACAGAAGCTCTGTCTTTGGGAGAGTATATTCTAGTTCAGAGAGGACTACAGACTTTTAGCAAAATCAAAAATATGTGCACTGTCATGGGTTAACAAATACTATAATACACACTGGTGGGAAGCAGGGGAGTGAGTCCAGGACCCTTGGCTGCACGGCCCTGTGTAGAAAAGCCTGTGTGTTTGGTTGAGGAACTGTCTGGAGGCCAGCAGGACTACAGCCCAAGGAGAGGGTGAGAGTTGTAGGTGAAGGCTTCAGAAAGTAGCTCTGTCGCTGTTTGTAGGTCACGGTGATGCCTTTATTAATAGACTCACCTTGAGAATGTTGTTCTACATCTTGGCATTTACAGAAGGTTGAGAGATAGCAGCTACATTGGAGACAAACAGGATTTAGGCTGTGTGCTAACTGAGCTCATGAATTCGAAAGATTTGAAGGATAGCAGACTTTAACCTTTACGTACTATGTATTATAAATGCTTTTGGAGTTCTTCATGTACCTTGATTTTTAAAGAGCTTGATCTTGAACAAACAGAACAGTGACTTTCAATGTTTTTGTTTAAGCAGCAAAGCTATTTTTTTTTCAGTGCCATCTTACTTCCACCCTAATATGTAAGACAGTCCAGAGTGGAGCTGCTTAATGAAGCAGAAATGGCAGAGTAAAATCACACCACTGTGCCTTTTCCTTGCTTTCTGCACCTCCACTTCTGCACGCCTGTCTCTCAAATTCCAGGACTGCTATGTAGCAGTCCTAAATCAGAATGCATGTGAATTACTAGGGGAATTTCAAAATAATGAATTACTGAATCTGTGCTAAATTCCTGAATCAGATTCCTCAAAAGCATATCCAGTAAATCTGTTCTTAATACAATTTCCACAGAATATGTATAGCCAGGATTAGGAACTACTCTATAGAATATACCTTGAAGACCTACAGTTCATAGCATAGGACTTGAGAGCTAGAACTCTACTTAACTAACAGATCAGAGGGTGGGGGAGTGTCTTCTGGCTTGATGAAGGAAATCAAATCAAATTAAGAGAAAAGGGACAATAAAAATAATAAAATAATTCAAATAGGCCCTCCCTGGTAGAGCTGTGGTTTAAAGCACAGCACTGCAAGCGAGCTGCAGCTGCTTCAGTGCAAGTTTGATCCCCCACTCTGGAGGTAATCCACATGGCATGACAGGCCTCTCCTGCCTCACCCACTGCTCCCCTCAGCAGTGTACTTCATCAGTCTGCCTGTTCTGCTCCCCACTCTGTCTTTGGTGAGTCCTCTCACCACCCCTGCGCCTCTGGCCTGTACTCCAGTTGTGTATGAATAAACAAATAAACCTTTAAAAAATAATTCAAATATATCAGGAATAGAAAAGTGATACAAAATATTGTTGAGAACAGTTTATAAACTTTATTTTTTAATTGTAGATACAGTGAAAGACTCGATATACTAGAAGCAATCAACTTTGGGCACACTTTTCACTCTTTTTGAAGCAGATCCTCATACTTCATTAAATGACACGGTTGAGAAAATTTGCTTTTTCTGAAATTTTGACCAGTTAACAGTTAAACAAATGTAAATTAGCTAATAGTAGGCTATTTTATAGATTTGGTTGGACTTACGAAGCAATCACAAAGGAAAAGAAAGAATTAACTGATTTCAGTGTGTCTATATAAGGTGAAGAGAAGGAAAACCTAAAGTAGGACAAAATAAGAGTGATATATTAAGTGTACTTTTTTTTTAAGATTTATTTATTTATGCATACAGAACTGGGGTACAGACCAGAGGTGCAGGGGTGGTGAGAGGACTCATCAGAGACAGAGACAGAGTAGGAGCAGAACAGGCTGACTAATGAAGTACACTGCTGAGGGGAGCAGCGGGTGGGTCAGGAGAGGTCTGCCGTGCCATGTGGTCACCTCCTGGGTGGGGGTCGAACTGGTGCTGAAGTGGCTTTAACTTCTCAGTGCTGTGCCTTAACCTGCTGTGCCAGCAGGGAGGGCCCCAATTAAATGTACTTTTAAAATTAGTGTTTACAACAAAAAAGACTCTTATTAGACTCTGAAAATACGGCGATTGCTCTGTGTCTGGTGAATCCTCTTACACCCCAAATTTCTGGGTTATTCCCCAGTTCTTGTATGCCTAAGTAAGTAAATCTTTAAGAAAGAAAAAAAATATGTTGTACTTATCAGAGGGAGAGGGGAAGGAGGATGGCAGGAAAGGACAGAGGGCGTCAAAGGACTAGCGGGAATGGCGGAAAGACTTTGGGGGTAGGTCACATGCATATGTTGGGGTGTGAAGCTTTAATCCTAACATTAAATAGTTTTGTAAGCCCGTGGTAAGTCAGTACAATTTTATTAAAGATAAATTAAAATGTGCAGGCAAGTACTGCCTTTATAAAGTCAAAAATAATAGTGTTTGTTAAAATATAAAGTAAAAAAGTAAATGCTGATGGGATGTGTTAGAAAATTTTAATGGAAATGATTTAAAGGAAAGTTCACATTAGAGAAAATGCCAGTTAAGCATACCGGAGATACATTTTCTCACTGATAACAAAAATGGTAAAATGAAGAAATTTTTGGACTTAAAATTTTACATATATGATATTTGAATAAATAATGGAAGAAATTAAAAAAGCTACACTAATAGGAAAACACTGATATATTTCAGGTAGTTATAAAAATATTCATTCATTTTTTTTTTTAAAGATTTATTTATTTATTCATACAGAACTGGGGTACAGGCCAGAGGCTCAGGGGTGGTGAGAGGATTCACCAGAGACAGAGTGGGGAGCAGAACAGGCAGATCGACGAAGTACACTGCTGAGGGGAGCAGCGGGCGGGTCAGGAGAGGTCTGCCGCGCCATGTGGTCACCTCCGGGGCAGGAGGGGATCGAACTCATGCGGAAGTGGCTTAAGCTTCTTAGTGCTGTGCTTTAACCCACTGCGCCACCAGGGAAGGCCCCATTTTGTTTTTTTAATTTCACTTCTCAAGAAACCATAAAAAGTAAAGTACTATATTGGTAAAGATGTTTATTGTAGCATTAGTTGTTATAACAATACAACCTGAAACGTAACTTATGTTATAGAAGATGATTTCTTGAGTTGTGATAAATTGCATGCTGGAATTTTATATAATCTTTTAAAATCATAATTATAAAAATGAGGTAGAAACATGAAAAGTAATGTTGAGTCAATGACATTATTCAGTATGTAAGTAAAATTCTAACTTTAAAAAATATTAATACTTATGATGTTAAAAGATACTACTTAAAAATGAAAATAAACTGAGGTTAATATGTATTAATTCTACAAATATTTCTCGAATGTGCTCATTGTGGCAATAGCATGGATTGCAACAGTAAATAAAATAGCTATACCTTCTGGCACTAATAGAGATTAATTCTAACTGCTTTTTTTTTCCCCCCAATTTTAACAGTGTTATAACAACTTTTCATTTATAAATTTAGTTAAAAACTAGTACCAGCAATGTATTAAAATGCTTGTAATTGTATCACTCTTGCTATTTTCCTATTTGTTACTAATGCATACACATTTTTTATAGAACATAAAATAGAGCAATTTATTTTTAATTACTGAAAAGCACTAATTGTTGGTTCATGGTTTCCTTCTTAATATTTATTGATTGTTTTAAATTCTTTTTTATAAGGGTGCAGAAGCTATTCAATGGAGAAAGAAGAGGTTCTTTTTAGTATTTATTTTTATTAGAACAACTGGGGTATATGCCAGAGGTGCAGGGGGTGAGAGGATTCACCAGAAACAGAGTGGGGACAGAACAGGTAGATCTACTGAAACACATTGCTGTGGAGAACAGTGGGTGGCACAGGAGAGGTCTGCTGCACCATGTGGGCCACCTCCTTGGGTTAGGTAAAACTCAGGCTGTCCAGGTGATAGTGCTGAGATTTAACCCTTAGGCCACCAAGAAGTCTCCAGTTAGGTTATTTTTTAATATAATTACTGAGTGCTGACAGGCTGGCACTGTGGTGGGTGCTGGGACTACTGAGTAGACAGGTGTGCCTGTTTTCTTGCTGTTTTGGGCTTGACGAATTATAGTTTTCTGACGGATTATATTATCCCATTAAAATGTCATTTAGAGTTTACCACAAATGTTATTTTTTGAATGGAAGGAGGATTTATATTATGAGCATAAGCATGCCTTTTCATACTCTTTGTATATTTTTTAGCGTTAGCTAGAAAAAAGGAAAAGCAAATCATTTTTAGCATGTTTAAGAGATCACAGGTATATTTATACTAGTTACTCTGGACTTCCCCCAAGTTTCCTTGTAAGTAACTTTCACACAACATGGAGAATACTATAGACAAGTGTAGAGAATACTGTGAATGGGATTTAAATGTTAAGAAAGAATTGCTTTTCCATGGAAAACTATAGCTCTGCTTTTGAGTCAACACTTTTCCCATTTCTGGGGACCAGTATTGATAAAACAAGTGGCATGTGGGCTGGTGATACCCTCTGTGTTTACCTACAGTATTATCTTTAGACAAAGATAATACTGTCTAAAGATAATACTGTAGGTAAACACAGAGGGTATTATAAAGTAAGGTATTTAAATGTTAGGGAAAAGTAATCTGTTCTATGGAAAACTAAACTTCTGCATTTGTGTTCTTAATAACTCCCCCTCCAGCCTCCCTTTCTGGGGTGACATTGGCAGAATTGACAAAACTGTAGTGGCATGTGGGTTGGTGATTCTGGAATCTTTATTTCCATATGCTCTTTAATTTCATCATCCTGGATTTGTTGCAACTCTACCAATAGCAAAAGGGTGACTTAATTGTTTTCAGTATTACTGGTTAGAGTACTAATACACAGGAAATTCACTGGGACATCTAGTTGGTCGTTTTCACAAACATTATATTGTCTAAGCCTGCCAAGTTCCCCTTTACTTATGAACTTTTATAAACTTATGTCTTTTATTTATGGCATTCTAGACATTTATTAATATTTAAATATTGGATTAATTAATTATTCAAAGATCCTTAAATTTAAGTATATGTTCATTATTTTTAAAAGTGGGGAAGACTTTGAAGAACTTATGTCACCTTTTAGATATATTAACAGTGTTTACTAAGGAATCTTATTGTGACAATTTTGTGTGGTTCTTAAGTTATTTTCAATTTAAATCAGAAAAAGTGAAAAGAATGAATTCAAACAACAAATAATTCTTGAGTGCATCTTTGGAGTGTAGTAATGTGGCATAAAATGGCTAAGAGGGGTGGGACCCACATACTCAGGGAACTTAAGGCCATTTGGAATTGTTACCAGTTGTATCATCTACTGTAGCCGCAGTCTTCATATGAGAATGTTCATGAAATAATTTCTTTGCTATTTTTATTCTATATCAATATTCATATTAATTTTTTAAATTGGCTTAGCACAGACATGACTCCTACATAGGAAGAAGATTTGTTTCAGTACCATATCTAAAGCAAATCAGCAATCTGTAAAAAGTACTAAGTCTAAACTTGGGAAATTAGAATGTGTAAAAAAAAAAAAAAGACATAATTTTCTGAAAATGTAAGGTCTTGGATTAAACATCAGAATGAATAAGATCTACTTGCTGGAAAATGTCTTTATAAAGTTAACAACACATTCAAGTATTTACGAGGTACTGAATTGAATTGGTTGAAAATACATTTTTCAGGGTTTCCAGAGATAATACTAGTTGAAATTATACTCTTTTCTTCATTTTCTTTGCATCCATTTTTATTTTTGACTTGGGGAAAAAAAAGAAAAATAAGTACATGAAAATAGTTATGAATTTTGCAGTAAAGATGCAGGAAGTCTTGTAGGATTCATTTCAAAAAAGCAATAATATTAAGAAATGGACAATAATAAGGGTCTGAGATAACCTAACATTTACTGGCTTTAGAGAGCATGGTCATACAATACTGAATACAGAATCAAAGTTTTTAAACCTTGAGGGAAAAAAAAAATATTACAAAGAATCAGAAATCTCTTCTGATAACTAAATTTTTATTCACCACATCTTTACATGAGCTTCAATTTGTGTAAGATTTACTTTCCTCTTTGTCCAAATGCTTCCCACTTCCTCTGTATAAAATCTTCGCTCCTATTTAGTCATCTCTTGTCTGATCCTCAGTGAACATAGGAGGAACACACTAGATGACATTAGAAAGGGATCAGTCACTGATGGGAAATATGAAAGCAATGAAGATCTTTTTTACCTTGCAGCTGAGAAAAGCCTGACCTGTAGATTTTTTGAAAGGGAAGGTGATGTCTGAATAATGGGACAGTGGTGACCAAGGAGGGCCGCTACTCACTGACCTTAGCTGCTGCCACTCTTTGTGATCCTAGTAAGCCTCTGTCTGTCTGCCTGCTTATCTTTTTTCTGTTTCCCTAAACCTGTCTTTAAAGTGTGGCCTGCAGTGGTGGTTCCTGGCTTGCCCACCAGTGAAGGTGACCATCACTCTGTTTGGAGGCATTTTGGTGGATTTTATAAATAGGAAATTTGTACTTGATAATTAAAATTGTACTGAAATATGTTGTACATTTGCTTGCCTTGATCAGTGTTTACTTCTCATCTGCTGTCAGCCCTCTGGTCTGGAACTGATTATTTAGGGAAAGTTGGTGGGGCCATCTGGAAAGACAAGCAACCTGAGCTTCTGACTTCCAGTGCATGTTTTGATCGATGTTATGACACAGCTTATTTCATTACTTATTGTTTCTGTTTATTGTTAGAAAAGAAAATCCTAATCTGAAATGAATTGTTTTCAAAGGCTTTGGATTTGGCTGCCCTTTCTACAGAGCATTCTCAGTACAAGGACTGGTGGTGGAAAGTGCAGATTGGAAAATGTTACTACAGGTAAAATTTTGATTATTTGAAGGTTTAGAAGTGGCAGCATATTTTAGAATCTCAAATCTGATAACTTTTTCTGTGTGTGATAGATTTTGCTGTAAAAAAATGAGCTATCTTTGACTTACTTGAGAAAGCATTTATTTAATAATCATTTGGTGGCCCTCCCTGGTGGCGCAGCGGGTTAAAGCACAGCACTGAGAAGCTAAAGCCACTTCCGCATGAGTTC